TCCCTAGAATGTATAAAGCCAAACTGTGCTCTGATCACCTTGGGCACACATGTCATCAGGAACTCCTGAAGCTGTATCATGGGTGTGTGTCCTCAACCTTGGCAAAATAAACTTTGTAAATTAACTGAGACCTCTCTCAAATTTTCAAGGTTTACATTTTGGTAACCACAGAGGGATTCTGAGTGGAGATGCCCCTGACTTTTGACAAATCTCCTATTGGTGCTTGGTATCAGCATGAGCTAATTTTATGGCTCAAACCAATAGCACAATTTGGTAAGATCTGAGAGCACCCTGATGCTCTGAGAGAGAGAGAGAGAGAGAGAGAGAGAGAGAGAGAGAAAACGGATGCTCAGCACCCCTGATGCTCTTAGATAATCCCTGAGTTCCCAAAATTTAGTCAAGATCTAAAGTTTATTTTGCTGTACAACTCCTTTTTTTTGGAGTTTTACTTGTTTCCATCAAGCAAGGTAAGAGTTCCTGTTTCCATGACATTGGAAGGCAGGTAACTCCTTTATGGAGTTTGGCTCACTTCCAAAAGGGAAGAAGATTTTTTTCCCCCTGTTTCTAGGATGGTAAAGAGCAGTGTACAGCCTGAGACTCATCCCTAGGTAAGTACCTGAATTGGTTAAAGTTAAGATTAACAACCAACTGGTCTTAACTTCTCCTTACCATTAGAGCATTCAATGATCATATAAATATGCCATCGTTTGTTTTGCTTAAATGTTTGTTGTCGTTGTTGTTTGTTTGTCTCTGTTTTTATTGTTGTTTTGGTCTTTTTCCCACTGGGTTTGATCAGCGCTATCCAATTTGATCAAATCGAAAGGATAGTTCCAGGTTATGGGGAAGAAAGTGGCTAAATTCCAAAAAAAAAAAAAAAAAAAAAAGAGGAAAGATTTTTGATTTTGACTACTAAAGGGGCTTTATTTACATAATGCCACATTTTTGTTAGCTAGGCATCTGTGACATCAGAATAGATGAAAAACTTTCAGGACTCATGGAGAGGTGAAATGTTCCTGAATACCAAGCAGAACAGGAATTAACTGCATGTACTAAACTAATAGAAGTCCAAAGTAATTTTTTTAATGTTTTGCTTAAAATGTTGCTGATCCTTTGTTTTGTTTTTCAAAGTCAAGAAAACTTTCAAGCTATTTACAGCTTTTAACAATTAAGTATACTCCTATGAATAAAATTGAGAGCGTATTTGTTTCTCTGTACCTGATTTCTACAGAATTTGGAAACTATTTGTGAGTATTCTTAACTTATGGCAATACAGTTATTTGCATAAGTGCAATAAGAATCTGTTTTCATTTTTAACAGGACACAATTGGAGAAATTAGTTAGTTTACCAGAGCTTTTACTGGAATGGTGTGCTTTACTTTAAGGAATCAGACATGACTTATGGAACCAAAACAAGCCCCTTGGGAAAACTGGCCTCATACCTGTGTCTACTCAGCCCCTGTATAAGGTTCCTGACCTGTGTTAAGTAAAGAATGTCACTTTCTGACAGGCTCAGGAGCCCCAAGTTTATCTTGGACTCTCAAGAGGACAGGAATTCACCCAACTCATAGGTATTTGATGGTACAAATCCATGTCTAGACTTGACTTTAAAAAAGTCCTATGTGAGATTTCTTCTATGGAATAAAGTTCCATCAAAGCCAACTTAAAAGCCCATGTAAAAAAACAATTATTCTTGTTGCACTGTAAACAAATAATCAGGCCAAGTATGATAAAGCAAATCATTCCTACCAGATTTGTTTTTAGTAAAAATGGGAAACTGGAGAGAAAAAATTATGTTTCAAAAACTATAGTACTCTTGTTCTTAGATTCCAGTCTTGCCTAATATTTTTCAATTTTTATTATTTTCTACAATTTGGACTGAATTCTAATTTTTCTTGGCTACGAGCCTTCAAAATAATGCTTTCAATTCCTTTCCTTCTTTTTTCCTCCATTTTTCTTAATTTGGAGTCACTGAAAACTAAGCTGTGCTTTCAAAAAGCCCTGAGAACAGAAGCTAGACAACTTAAACTTCAAAAGAAAATAACAGCAACCTGTTTACATACATAAGCCACTTTTATACCTCTATCTTAATATGTGGACTTCAGAGTAATGAGGCCTATATCAATT